GAATCCATGATGATAAGCAGCCTGACAGCATCTTGCACCACTCCTTTGCTAAGCGAAGTTAAGGCTTAGGGTTTAGGGTTCAGGCTTTAGGGCCTAGCTGGCAGTACCCTCGCAATTGCTACATTCCCTCTACGGTTCCCTCCGCGTAGCCCCTTATTTCAACTCATTTCCAAAGCCCTAAACCTTAAACCCTTATCACTATCCCTGTATGGGTATTTCACAACAAAAAAAGGTCCCACATAGACAATGATTATCCCTGCCCGGGGGATCCCGGAGGAAGGGCACTGAATTTTTGGAAACTCCCGTATTACCCCGTGCAATCCCTACATGAGCTACTGTCAATATGTCCTACATCAGACATCGTCTAATGGACATGGCTTCCTTATAAAGGATTATATAAACCCTAATCCCTAAACCCTATACCCTAATCCCCTACACCATTAAAAAAAAAAAAAGCCTAATCCCTAAACCCAAACCCTACACCCTAATCCCTAAACCCAACACCCTAAACCCTAATCCCTAAACCCTAAACCCTAAACCCTAATCCCTAATCCATAAACCCGAATCCCTAAACCCTAAATCCTAAAAGGCTGGGAAGGTCAATGCACCTGCTCCTCCTCTCCACGCAGCGCAGCCTCTATGGCTCCGGTCAAATGGCAAAGCCTCTCCAAGAATAGAAGTTAGGGTTTAGGGTTTAGGGGCTTAGGGTGGTTTGGGGTTTAGGGTTTTAGGGCTTTAGGGTTTAAGGTTTAATGTAAGTGGCAAAGAAAATGGAAACTACTATTAAGGGCTATTACTAAACCCCCTCCATTCAAGGGCTGTAACATTAGGATCCGTATTATAATCCCTATTAAGGGGAGGGGGTTATTAATCAGCGTTTAGGGTTTAGGGTGGTTGTCAGGGAAAGAAAGAACGTGCTGTATTAGTGCCACCAGAATAATTCTATAGCAACTACTATCAGGATCCATGGCTCCAGTCTGTGAGCATAGAATTCTGGAGCCCTTGCTGGGTAGTAGGGATCAAGAAGGCTATGTAGGGTTCCAGGTAGGTCTTAGGGTTGGGAGATGTTTACAAGATGCTTCATAAAGTCTCGCAAAACAAGGGATCCTTCATTTGACCGCATTTCCCCATTCCGCATGCGCAGGGCGCACCCGTCATCTTCCATGTCATCCGGATCTGCGTAGCCTGCCACCTGGCATACATGGCATATTCGGGATCTCACTGTTGTCCCCAAGACAATAGGTAGCTGTCGTACTGTGCCTGGTACTCACCAACGGATGGAATCATTGCGAGAATCACACACACATCCTAGCGATTGGACTTGGTGTCCGGTCGTGCTTCTGGTGGGTTGGGCCGCCTCAGAGGCAAAGCCCACCGTGTGACGCCTGCAGCCAACACGCAGGATCAACAAAACCCTTGGCAAGACAAGAGGAAGCTTCGAACCTCCGGATTGGCGAAACAGCGGTTCCCCAATGTGGGCGCGGAGAATGCAACCGCGTTCCCTGGTTCAGCAGAGAATTCCATACTTAGGTATATTTCATACCCAATATAATATAGCAGCTTCCGTGTTCTTTTCCAGTATCCCTGTATAACCTCAACAGATACCCTATAATAATGCAGCAGTTGCTAGTTTCTTTTCCAACATCCTCACTAAACCCAATACATCACCGCACTGAGGGCAAACAGGTTATTGCCTTGGTCGGTGAAGACCCACAGCTTGCTGGGTCCTTCAGAAACCGGGCCGGAAGGGTGCTCATGGGGTCAATGGGGTTACAGTGGATTACATAAGAGTGGGGTACAAGGGATATAGAGATTATTTAGGATTATGTACGGGTTATAGAGGAGTTACAAAAGAATAGTCCCCAAATAATACAGATGGAAAAGAATATTGAACATAACCTTTGAGGGATTAGGGTTCAAGGTCAGATTCGTTCTGGAGAAGCAAAAGGACGACTAGACGAAAAGTGCATTGAAAACTGGGATTATATGGTCATTATTTGGTAGTTTCAATGCGTTGGGGTGGGACACCAATAGAGACACAAAAATATTACAGTCAACACTATAGGGACACTGGAAACCCTAATCCCTGTAAGCCATTGGGACAAGCCAGAGTTTCCATTGCATCTTTCATGTTCTTTTCCATTTGAGTCTCCATGTTGGAAATAATATGGGATAATCGGTTGTTCCTAACCCATACACGCTATACAATACAGTGGCTTCCATGGCATTTTCCAAAATTGATTCTGCATGTAATTCACGACTGTTCATTGGTGTGTATACGTGTAAACTAGGGTCTATCTGTAAAGATGCTGTCAATATCTCCCCTAATAATTAATGGACATGGGTTCCTTATTAAGGCAGTATTTGAATTCACTCTACTAACAATTACAAAATAAACCCCATGTCCACCCTTAATGGTCACTTCGTAAGGCTGATATTCACAGTGGCTCATATGAGCTATAGTCTAAACTCCTAGTATCCCCCCTTGATAAGCCCTATAATCGTCCCCTATATAGACCCCTAAACCCTAAACCCCTTTCAGAAATTCAGACTATAGCTCATATACTTTAGGGCTTGTCCTCTTCCAGTTCCTCACCAGCCCCGAAGAAAAGCTGCTCCAGCTTCTCGACGTGCCTTTGATCTGGGTTCTGGGGCGTTTTGGGTTTTAGGTTTTCCTAGACCCTAAACCCGAAGCTCTAGACCCTAAACTCTAAGCCCTAAACCCAAAGCTGTAAGCCCTAAGCCATAAACCCTCAAGCCCATATAAACTTACCATTACTTAGTGTTCTCCCATTTCCTTAATCTCAGAATTCCAAGTTTTAAAAAACCAAAATTACCCCCCAAACCCAAAGTAATGGTAATAAGTCCAAGCACCTTCTGTGGGATCCCCATAGCAAGGATTGTTGTATTTCGGGGGTCTACATATGTGCCCCTTTGGTTATAGATTATCTTACGGCACCTTATATAGACGGGCAACAAAACGAGACCCTATGTTCAGGAACTACCCTAAACCCTAAACCCTACACACCTAATCCCTATATGGGGGGTGATCCTCTTTATGCACAATACCAATTTGGTTGACACCAAAAGTCCCGCATGACCTGCGGGAACTTAATTCCCCCAGACTTCCCAGGTTCTACGGTAGTTAGGGCCTTGCAGGCCCTAAACCATAAACCCCTCAATCTCAAACCAATCAGACCCTGAACCGAACCCTAAGCCCTAAATCAGGGATTTTACTATCAACCGTATGTTGAAGGGTCGGGGCAAAGGAGTCACGCTCCTATCTCCTACCTGCAAGTCGCTGCAAGTTCACAGAATGAGTGTAGGGTCGGCGGTTTAGGGCCTTTTTGTCGTTGAGGGTTTGGGTTTGGGGGGTTTAGGGCATTCTTGTCGCTTTGGGTTCACCAAATTCTTGATCGAACACGTCCGGAAGATCCATACTCGTACACACTGCCCTAAACCCTTACCCGTAAATCCCAAACCCCTAAACCCTAAATCCTAAACCCTAAACCCTGAACCCTACACCCGAAACCCCCAAACCGAAGCATCCAGGGTCAGGACCATGGGCCAGGACCCAGCTGCATCGCCTAAGCTTCACATTCCAGGCTTTGGGGTTTAGGCTTATAGTCCCCCTTGAGTAGATAGAATATAGCTTTGGGTGTATTATAACATGATCCCCATATACCCCATATTCCATCTACTTAAGGGGGACTATAGTACCACAAACCCTCAGCCATCCTAAGAGTCGGGGTTGGAGACTTCGAGTTTGCGTTGAGGCTGTGAGGCTGAGAGTTTAGAGTTCAGAGGTTTCAGGTACAGGGCCTGTTATTTCGAAGGGTCAAGCTCCATCATTTGGGAGGTTCTCTGACGTTAGCTCATTAGCTCAGCGCAACCCACATGAGGGCTTCCCAAAAATCAAATATCTGTTGGGACACTCGCTAGGGGTGGGGCCTCACTGGGCATAAGGCCTACTGTGAGAAAGAAAATTGGAGAACTACCCAAAACGATCCAAACAATCCTAATACAACAATACATTCGACTGTAGCCTGACAAACACAAAGCCAATCCTAAACTGCTTTGGACCATTCGACCCAATCAACATTGTAACTGCGAAGCCTGTGCCACTACAGAGAGCTCTCCATGCCACTTAGGTACCAGGGTCTCCGCCACCTCGTCTGTGAAGCCTCGACTGCACGGGTCAGGGTTTGGTATGCAAGCTTTAGAGCCGTGATTTAGTTTTGAGCGCTTAGAGTTCAGGATGCAGATTCATGGCTTAGGGTTTAGGTTGTAGCTTTTGTAGTGCTGATGGCTGAAATCATAGCCTGCGCAGGCAGCATTGTGGAACGAAGATCTCACATTGCGTGCGAATGCTGCGTCAAGCTCCAGAGAGATTACCTTTGGTAAATCTTGTGGGTGACTCTGCTGGGACTCATGCAAACGCTTGTCAAAGAAGGGCCACCTGCGATGATTGTAGAGGAGAGATGAAGCATCAAAGTGATCAAAATAAGGACCATTTTCAAAGTTGGTGGGCAGTGCAAATTGGATTTCACGTCATCTGCGAATTCCAATAAAAGCCTCACATCGCATAGCTTTCTGGGGCCCTTGCCGACAACATCTCTCAGAGATGCTTCGGACACCAGGTTGTTCTGGTCGACAAAGTCACCTGGCCAAGTCTCTAACATGCCGTATCTTACTGGAGTTTTTTGACTGGAATACGGGGATGGATCCGGATAGCATGCCCAATAATCATAGTCCTCTCTAATAATGTCAATCCCTGCTAACAGCCAAAAGACCGCTACAGTCTCTATAGTAGTAGGAAACTTGGACAGCTGCCCTCAGCGGGATCCTCCTTAGACATCTAGGCGATGCACACTTTGTCCACCTTGGGCGGAAACTCTCAGTGCAGCAACATGCTACATGGTGGTGCCGTGAACACACACATCTGTACAGGGTCAGCTCGTACCAGCCACTTGGGTCAGAAGAGCTTGAAAATTGCCACCTCACTTGCCTTGCTTCATCATCAAGGAGCGCTTCTTCTGCGTCTTCTGCATGACTGTTTCCTCTTGGACAGAATTTCGTCGTGGTTTGGGGATGAAGGTTTTAGAGTTTACCACACGACCACAAGCCCCTAGAGCTGAAGAAATATAGCTACTACAACTTGGGATGAAACGAAAGAGCACCATGATCACCACAATCACCATGATCACCACAATCATTATCATCAATAATACCACACGGTGGGACTGCCACGATATGTCGCGATGAAACCCCGGTCTTATTTCTACTGGAGTCAATAACCCTTCTCCTCATCACCATTGGGCTTCCAAAGACCACGGTGGAGAACCTCGGCAGCAGCGTCGTGCACCTTCTCCCAGCCATGGAAACGGCCGCGCTGGCTCAGCGTGCCGACGGCGTTAGGAAAAGCATGGTGGACCTGAGTTTTAGCCGGTTGCACTGCTGCAACCTGACACGGCGCTTGACAAAAAGAAAGCCAAGGCACATCGTGGAAGAGCATCTCGTTCCAGCGGTGCTTACCACCCAGCACCATGGCCATCACGTTGTGGAGCACAGGCCAGGTACGGCCTGGATCCTGTGCGAGGAACTCGTTCCAAGGAAGACCTTGCCGAGTAAAACACTCTACTGGCCTTGGGTTAGCTGGGAATGAAGGAATGGAAAAGAAAATGGAAACTACTATAATGGGTTATCTAGGGACGGATCCAGTCCTTCATTCCTAACTCACCAAAGGCCAGCATAGGAATAAGAAATCCAGCTTGTGTCTTCAATTCCGAAACTCAAACATTTCAAAGCTGACTATTAGCAAGCAGTTCTCTGTGGGTGAAGTTCGTGATGAACATCCAAGCCGCAGAGTAACCGATGCGCGCGAAGAAGGACACAGTGAACATGAATCTCCAACCCTCACTGGCCACTTGATTGAGTATGTTAGGGTTACATAGGGATAGTGGAAAAGAGAATGGAAACTACTAAATTTAGGGTTTAGGGTTTAGGAACCTAAGTTCTAGGTCAGATTCTAGGTATTCTAGGTGGTTGACAGCACAACAGAAGAGGGCCACCCACGCCTCGCTGAGGGGACGTCCCAGAGGGTAGGTGCCAAGCAGCCACACGCAGGCCCACAGGGAGAGCACGAAGGCGTTGTGTTTGATCCTGCGCGGCAGAAGAACGAATAGATCGCCACAACCTGCCTAGGAGCTAACTTATAATAGGGACTAAAGCAAAATGTTATCTCTATATAATCCCTATAGACTATATTCCCTTACTCCCTCGCTACTAGCCCCCAGTAAGTTAAATGGCACACAGAAAAGCAGTGCGGGGCAGTGCCGATCCTGCGCGGAACCCACTTGCTCCAGAACCTTTCGCATGACAGCATGACAGCAAAGGTTCAAAGACACACTAAGCTGCTGTTATGCAAAAACTTTTGTTTACACAGTCACTAACTGATAGGGTTGACACTCAAACAGGTCATCCCTTGTTCTATCACAAAATGCGGACGGGACTTTGTGAGCTGAGAAACTCCTTGTTGCACTTGCCGCCTGCGCCCTCATCTGGGAAGTGCATCCACCATTCCAGAGCAAAGAGGGAGCCGGTATCGTTCAGACCGAAGAAGTGGATGACCGGGATGAACGGAACTGTCAGCAGGTACTTGTACCAGTTGGAGCCCCATGGCCCAGCCCACTGTTGCAGAGCGTAGTGGAACTCCTCCGGATCCCAGCCAAACTCCCCCTGGATCAACAGGTCCACGGTAGACGCATGATGCCTGTCAGTCGCTTTCTACTTGCAGATCCTTTTGCTGCTGAAATTGCCGAAGGACTACTTGAAACAAGATCTGAGTTTTGGCAGCGACATAACTGACATAACGGTTACCGGAAACTGCCGCGGGGCCTGTTGTGCTCCAGGACGAAC